CGGGAAGCCAGGGCAGGGATTCTTAGAGCACCCGAGAGCATCGTGTGGGCAGCTGCTCAAAAGATAGGGCACTCACACCGCGCCCCAAGCCACTTCCATTGAAAGCTGGCTGAGGCACCTGGGAAGCAGCACAATGTAACATCACCCTGAGGTGACTCTGGGGCTTGGTACTAAAAGGAAGGTCTGCAGACTAGCAGCCAGGCATCCCCAGTCAGTTGGTTAGAAATGCAGACCCCAGGCCCCAGCCCCAGACAGCCAGAATGAGAATCTACATCTCGCATGACCTTCTAAAGGTGCATATGAACAGTGTTGCCGAAGGAGCATCTCTTTAGAACAAGCACAGCTTTTAAATACCTGTTAAATATGACAAGTTGCACACACTTTCTGCTGATTCACATGATCATTGGGATATATTCCTTTTTTCCTTCATTTCACAAATGGTAACAGGGCGTCCCCTGCGATGGTTTGTGCGTACACCTTGGCACGCCTCACTGCCTTGGCCTGCAGATTTCTGCTCATTCCGCCGTCGCTAGGCTCTGTCCTTTGGTGGCACCCGTCTCTTGTCCCCTGGATCTGACCCTTTCCCATTGATTCTGTCCTCTCCTTCCTTTTCACCCTCTTGCAAAAATTAGAGTCAGAATTCCTCCTTGTCATTCTCTGTCAGTTGGGAGCATTTGACCTTGAACCGAAAATGGCTGGTGCTGGGAGTGCATAGAGACAAACTGAACAGTCCTGGGCAGTCCTGGGGGTTGCATAACCCTGAGGTTGATTCCAGCTGCTGAGATCTGGAACCAGTAGAGGGGCTTCTGGACCCCCTCCCAGCCCTTCACTGGAGTGTATGGCCCGACCTGGTAACTCTGGGATGAGGTTACATCCAATGGAGAACTCTGCTCTTCAGTGTATGGTGTATGGACCAGTGTCAACAACACTGGGAAACTTGCTAGAATCCTGGGCTCTACTGCGAAGTTAGTGAACCTGAATCTGCATTTTAATAAGACCAGCAGGAGATTTATACACACATTAAAGTTTCTGAAGTGCTAAAGCACTGGGATAGAAGAGTGTTTCTCAAGTACTAGAATCATGGGAGCTTTCGGAGACCCTCATGCCCAGGAGCAGGAGTGTAGCCTAGTGGTTTAGGTGCTCACCTTCCACATCAGAGAACCTGCGTTTGATTCCTGACTCTGGCTCATGACTCTAGTTTCCTACAAACACAGACCGTGGGAAACAGCAGTGATGGTTCCAGTAGCTGGGTTCTTGTCCTGACCTAGAAGACCTAAAGCTGTGTTCTCAGTTTCAGCCATGAGCCATCCCTGGGTGTTTTAGGAATGAACCAACAGGTGGGCGCTCTCTGTCTCTGTGTTTCTTTTCAAAGATAAAAACTAAATTAGTTTTAAAAATCCCATGTCCAGGCTACATCCTATGCCAATTGAATTGGAATATCTTGTGAGGAGATCCAGGCATCCGTATGTTTTTTTGGTAAAATACACAGAATCTGAACTCTATCTTTTGAAGGATATTTAGGTGTAAATATGTGGCATTAGGCATAGTACAACTGTCAGCACCACCTATGCCTGAATCTTTTTATTTATACCCAACTAAACACCATACCCACTAAACACTAACTCCCCATCCCATCTCCCTCGGCCATGGTAACCGTTGCTCTCCTCTCTGTCTCTCTCGATTTGACTACTCTGGGTACCTCTTATAATATGTGTCCTTTGTGACTAGTTTATTTCACTTAACATAATGCCTTTGCGATTTATCCAGATTGCAGCGTAAATCCAACTTTTCTTCCTTTTTAATGATGAATAATACTCCGTTTATCTTTTTATCCACTCAACCATCCATAGGCCCTTGGGTTGCTTCTGTCTTTTGGCTATTTTGAATAATGCTACTATGAGCATGCGTGTATTCCTATCAGTTCAGATCTCTTTCACTTTTGGACATATGCTCAGAACCGGAGTTTCTGGATCCTGTAGGAATCCTGTGTGGATTTTTCTAGGAACTGCTTGGCTGTTTTACACAGCAGTGGCACTGTTTTCACATTTCTTCCAGCAATGCAAGAGTTCAGATTCCTCCACATTCACACCAACACTTGTTATGTTTTTTTTTTAATTAAATGATAGCCATCTTTATGGGTGTGAAATGGTATCTCCTTATGGCTTTGATTTGCATTTCCCTTATGATTAGTTTTATATTCTCATTGGCCATTTGTGAATCTTGAGAGGAAATAGCTATTCAAGATTTTTACCCATTTCGAATCAAGTTGTGTTTGTTGTTGCTGCTGAATTGTAGCAGTTCTTGAAATATTCTGGATATTAGTAGAGATTTGCAGATGTTTTCTCCCACTAGTTGGGTTGCCTCTTTGCTCATTGATGGTGGTTTTTACTTATCTTGTTGGTATGTGTGCTTTTGGTGTCTTATCCGAGAAACCCTTGCGAGGCATGAGAAGTTTGGGAGGCTCCCCAGGCGATGCCAGCCTACATCCAATACTGAACAGAATTTCTCAAATTCTAATGGACATCCAAATCCCCTGAAATCTTGTTAAAATGCATATTCTGATTTATTGGGTCCGGGTGAGGCCCAAAGTTCTGCATATCTTAACAAACTCCTAAATGAAGCTGATGCTGATGGACTGGGGACCACTTGGCGGAGCCAGCGTGTGGAGAAGCATGACAATGATTCCCTTCGCCCGAGCCTGACAGCAGCCAGTGGATATGGACCAGGCTTCCTCCTGAGCCTGCCTGTCTCTGGCCTGCTACTGATATGAGTCAGGTGGGTGGGTCCATGAGGTGCTGCAGAGGAATGAAATGTGAAGGAGACCTCTTTGTCCCGCTCTCCCCGCCCCTCACACACACCTGGAAGGCATAATGTTCACCGGGGGAAATGACACAGATTGGCCTGAAGTTTACCAAAGAGGGAAATTGCTGAAGATCTACTTGTTTTTTTTTTTTTCAAAAAAAATACTTTAATCCAACACCAAATTTCAGAGGTGGAAAGGTCTCCTAAGAGATTTTCTCCCAAATCTTCATTTTGCAGAAGAGAACCAGAACCCCCAAGGACTGTGACTTGTTCAAGGTCACCAAACAAAATAGAGGTGAGCCATCGGGGCACTGCTCCTTTTTACTTTAGGTTATTTATCGATAAGTGACAGTGCAGAGCAGTTTCTTCCGTCCCGTGGTTCCTTTGGTTAAGTCTTACCTGAAAGAGTGTAAACCAGGAGACCGCCTCCGGGTTCTTGCCTCTTGTGCCTTTGTTAGAACATGTCTACCAGTGAAGCCCATGGGCCTTCCTAGGACCCCCTCCCCTGGTGGCAGTGACCCAAACTGCAGGCATAGTGCCTGGACAGAGCCACCTGGGTCCTGGAAGGCATGCTCACCAGGTCCGCTTCTCGCTCCGTGCCTGTAGCAGGTGCTGTCGCTGAGCACAGCACTCTCTCGAGCCCCTGCCAATCAATTGGATTTGCCTCTCAAGTGGAAACCCATTCGCTCTCCCTGCGATAGAGGTCATACGCTGAGATGCCCGCTGACCTTCAGGTCCGTGCTCATCAGCACATCCACGCTGGTTGTTAAATGTTCTTTCCCATTCGCCAGTCCCTAACTGCTCACTCACCCAGTTTTGAGTTTCCTTCATCTAAGTAGGCTTTCTGGCATGTTGTAGTGCTGGTGTAGGGATGAATTTGCCTTCAGCGATTAGACAGCTTGTGGCAGCAACTGCCTTGTTGGGACATCGCTGCAGGTCGGAGTGACCTCGCTGGGTCATGCACTGCCCACGTGGGCCTGGACCTTCCACAGCAACCTCTTTTCTGGGAAGGTGCCCCGAGATCCACTTCTGCCTGGCAGCCAGAGCCATACCCCTGTATCTCTCACATGCCTCTCCTGCAAGGCCTCAGGAAGGCGTCTGACTCGCACTTGGCTCCAATGGCAGTGCCCGGCTCCTGTCGGGTAGGCTCTCAGTTCTTGAACTGGAGCATGCTCGTTTGCTGGCAGGAGCTCTCCCTCCATATGGCAGACAATCTTCAGATCTTCCTTGCCCTTCCTCTCATTAAGACATCAGCCTCACTCAGCCTGGCTCTCAGCCGCCAGGCGCCCTGACAGGCCAGTGGGAGAGACTCCACCAAGAGGAGGGTTGCTGCCTTCTGAAGGCAGGACGGCACCGCTCTGCCTGCTGGGACCAGACCCGTGCCCTTTGTGTCACTCATTCTGGCGGCTCCTTGAACACTCGGAGTTGTGAGCTCAGGCCCAAGGCAGAGTCGCAGGGTGGCACCGTCTGGAGCGTTCTAAGCATCGCCTTGGCTCTTGCTCACAGCAGGTGGAATCCTTCCCCCTTCTTGGCCATTCTCAGGCATCTCCTGGGTGTGTGCCATCAGCTCCCATAGCCCTAGGCTGCTTGGCAACACCCTGAGTTATGTTAGAGATATAATAATGAATTATACAATGCATTATACATAATTAATTTATAATAAAACACGCATGCAATGGTTTAATTTCTCCAAGTGAATGATGTGCTCCCCGCCGGATCTGCTGGAAGGAGTCCCCTAACTGGCTGCCTCTTGGTATCGAGGTGGTGGCCGGCTGCCCTGGGGAGGGATGTTGACTCAGGGAGCCAGCCAAGTCAGGGATTCCCTACCACGCAGCTTCTGGGTGGCATCCCGCAAGAGGACAAGCCTTCGCCGCCTCTCCTCTTGTTCTAGACCTGGATCCTCCCAAGGGCTTGGCCCCTGCCTCTGCACGGTTGGCGAGCTGTCATTTTCTGCATCGTCTCACTCTTACTCCCAGAGCACAGGAGACGCCTGCACATTGGTGTCCTCCCCTTCCTTCCTTCCACAAACATGCATTGAGTGCCTGCCGGGCACCCTGTCCCAGGCTCGGGGGATGTCGCTGGATAAAGCAGAAGCCAAGAGCCTTGCCCAGGCGGGGCTTACACTGCAGCCATGGAAGACAGACCATGAGCACTCCCACATGGGAGGTATTAGTGGAGGAGACTGATGTACAGCGCGGATGGCTGCAGTAAGAGAGCGTGGGGTGGTGGCAGGACGGGGAGGGAGGATACCCCTCTGTGATGGGACAGGGCGAGCTGGGCAGGGCTTATGGGAAAGCAGCAGACCGGGACTTGCCCTGGTCTTCGGGAACAGGGGAGAAGGACCCACGGGCCCTCACAGGTTTTCCTGGCCAGCTTCGGCTGCAGGACCTCTCTGTGACGCTTGTGCCTTTGGGTTTCAGATGCCGCAGATGTCACTGTGCCTGCTGCTGCTGTGGTTTCTGCCCCTGACCGAGGGGTCGCAGCGGGCTGAACCCATGTTCACTGCGGTCACCAACTCCATCCTGCCCCCTGACTATGACAGCAACCCCACCCAGCTCAACTACGGCGTGGCAGTGACCGACGTGGACCACGACGGGGATTTCGAGATCGTTGTGGCAGGGTGAGTGTCCCTTGTCCTGAGTGTCACAGGTGGGCTTGGGAAACCTCCGCTGTGCTGGGGTGGAGTGGCAAGTGAGGCCCAGAGCCAAGGACTTGCAGCAACATATGTGCCTGTTGCTTGGGCTCCGGTCACCTGCTGGCTGGGTGCAGTCAGGGTTGTGGGGGGCAAGAACCTAGCGGGAGGTTGGGATGGAGGAGGTTGCATTTTGACAGAAAGAGGTTGGATCCAAAGGCTTCCCAGGGAGAAAACTGGTCCTCTCTTCTCGTGGTTGCCATGCCTTCTTGGTTTTGCAGCTGCCGCTTCCTTCCCGGAGCTCACAGATGTCCTGATAGGAGGGGAGAGGGTGGGCGTTTGGCACAGTAGTTGAGACACTGCTTGGTCCCAGATCAGAATGCCTGGGAGCTAGTCTCACTGCTGCCTCCGATTCCAGCTTGCTTCCAAGGTGAGTCCTGGAAGGCAGCAGCTGAAGCCATAAGTACTTTAGTCCCTGCCTCCCACAGGGAGAGCCAGGTTGAGTTCTTACCTGATGCAGCCATTTGGTCAGTGAACCAGCAGATGCAAGATGCTTTCTCTCTGTCTGCCTTTTCCCTTGACTTTTACATAAAAGAAAAAGTGAAAATCAAAACTGGGGGGTGGGGGTGGGGGCAGACTTGGGCCCGGCACGGTAGCCTAATATTAAGCTAAAGTCTTCACCTTAAATTTGCTAGGATTCCATATGGGCACCAGTTCAGTTCTAATCCCAGCAGCCCTGCTTCCCATCTAGCTCCCTGCTTGTGGCCTGGAAAAACAGTCAGGAAAGACCCAAAGCCTTGGGACCCTGCACCTGTATGGGAGATCTGGAAGAGGCTCCGGGCTCCTGGTTTAAGATTGACTCAGCTCCAGCTGTTATGGCTACTTGGGGCGTGAATCAGTGGATGGAAGGTCTTTCTCTCTGTCTCTTCTCCTCTGTATATCTGACTTTGCAATAAAAATAAATAAATATTTTTTAAAAACTAGGGGAGACTTATGGGTGACAGAGTTGTGATATATGATGCTTAAGGCTGCCTTTTCACAGCACTCTGTGTAAAACTCAGGAAAAAGTTAATCACCCACTTCCAAGAGGGAGAAAAGGAAATTAAGAGGATTGCCACACCTCCCCTAACCATGCCTTGGCACTCACTGAGCCCTTGGGTCCTGAAATGCAGCATTGCAGAGCAAGGAAGGCCCAGGACCCTGCCTGGGACCCTGTGGCTCCTGTTCAGACGGATGACCTTGAGTCAGTCCCTCCACTCGGTGAGATTCTGACAGGTCATCTAAAGGGAGGCAGCTGCATTGCCCTGTCCTGAAGCCTCATAAGCAATGACACATGACAGTGCCTTGTAAATCCTGCCAATCACCAGTGATAATGATGATTTACCGAGCATGAATATGCGCCAGGCACCATGCATCGTGTTATTTCATCCTCCTGACAGCACTAAGAAGTATGTGAAGAGTCTTCAAAAGGTTTATGGAAAACGCCTATTTCGAAAAATCTTTGTGCAGATTTACAATTTATTGGTACCAAACTTATCTTTTGGAAACATTTTTAATTAATTTTGTTTACTTGAGCAACGTAGAAATTAAAAGAGGAAGATGCAGACAGCTCTTATCCGCTGGTCTTCCGTAAAGTAAAGGCAGCTTCAAGCACTTCTGTTGTGATGATTGCACTCGGGCTCCTCCTATCTGTTTTCATTTTCAGTGTTTCATTTGAAAGGCAGTGAGAAGGGTATGGGGGGACAGCGAGTGAGCGAGAGAAAGAGAGAGAGAGATCTTGCATTTACCACTGTACTCCCCTAGTGCCCACAGCATCCAGGGCTGGGCCAGGCTAAGCTGGAATCTAGGAACTCCATCTGGTCTCCACGTGGGTAGCAGAGACCCAAGCACTTGGGCCATCACCTGCTGCCACCTGGGGTGTAGTAGGAATCTGGAATCAGAAATGAATCTAAGACTCAAACCCAAGCACTGTAATGTGGGATGCAGGCATCCCACATGCATCTTAACTACGAGGCTACTGCCTGCCCACTTTCTCACCTTCTAATTCCATTGTCCAGGAAGTCTTTGAAGTTCCCCCTACCATGCTATCATGCCCACCTAGGGAAAAGGAAATGGGGGCTCACAGGCTTCAAGCAGCCTGCTCTCTGTCAAGTAAGCAGTAAGTGAGTGAGTTAGGATTTGAGCCCCAAGACTTCTCGACTGTAGAACTGCCAGACTATGCTGTGCAAAAGTTTAGTTATCACTGCTTTAAAAATCCGTCAGCCAGTAATAGCACTACAGGGGCCAGACAGCTTCATCCTGGGAGCCTGGTGCTTTTATGGTAGTCCTGAACAAAATACCTGGCAGGTAGTGTGATTTGTAGAAATTGCATGTAACAATAGGAAACATTGACCTTGGAACTCGAAGACGGGGATCTTAATTCTACTCCTACTTAACCCAGTAGTCATGAGCCTCGTATAGACTCTCTTAGCTCCACAGACTCACTTTCCTTAGCTGTAAAATGGGCACCCACACCCCACCAGTCGTAAAGGTCGGTAGTGGTGGGCTGCAGGAAAAGATACTTGGAAAAGTGCATGTTTGTTTTCATGTATGCATGTATTCCGCCCTCAGCCTCCAGTCCTGACCCTGCAGGAGGTGAGGCGCGGGCTGCCATCCAGTAGAGCTTTCTGTGGCACTGCGGATGTTCTCTGTTGAAGCTGTCCACCACAAGGGGCATCCAGAAGTTCAAGGGAAATGGTGTTCAGTGTAGCACACATTTCCAACGACCTTTTGAAGCCCCTGTGTGGTGTCCCGACCGGTGGCTATTTGAGTGTGTGGTTTTATAGTCAAGGAACTGAATTTTTAATTGCTGGAATTTTTTTGTTAAATAACTGTATTTAATTGAACAGTGTAGTTCCACACTTTTAGAAAGAAAGCCTAGAGAGCAGAGGATGAAGGGGGAGAAGAGGGAGTGGTGAGAGGGACCCTTCTCTCTCAGGGTGGCCGGCACAGAGCCGCAGCCGCACAGCTCGCCCATGTTCAGCTCTGAGAGTGGCGGTCACTCCCTGGACAGACCATGGACTACCTGCCTCCCCCCACACCATACCTGCATGCCACCTGCCAGAGACTGGGTTCGAGGACTAGAATGCATGTCTGAGCTGCTCAGAATTGTTAGTTGGCTTTGTCTCCTGCTGGGTGACCCTCATCTCCGTCTGGCTCCCCAACAGCCTCCTTCTCCAAATGTGCTGTCCTTTCATCCCGGACCATGAAATACTCTCACATGTCAGCACATTAGTGTGGGAATAAACAGGACCAGAGATGTGAATGGAACCGCCGTGCTTCCTTCTACAGGGAGTTCCCAGGCCTGCACAGGGGCGACTTTCATAAGGTTACACATAGAAGTAAAGAAAATGACAGCGAGCCCAGCAAACTGCCCGCAGTGTGCACACACACACACACAGGCCAAGGCCTCCTATCAAAGGCATGTTGCAATAGTGGTCATGGGCCGCACTGCCTTGCTTATGATCCATCTTTCCGAATAACTAACTGAGCAAGTCTTGCCCCCAGGCCAATCCTGACTTGGGTCTGTTTGGGCAGCAGCATTTGGTGGAAGAATTGTCAGTGGCTCCTTTCCCCTGACAGGGCAGAAGGACTGCTAATGCCCCCATGGAAACATTGGCCAGGATCCGTTCCCTGAGCCTGAGTGTCAGCATGGGTTTTTTGTGCCCAGGTCTCCATCCCCTCCCCCAACCCCGCGTCCCCAACCCTCTGAAGTGTGGGGAACTGGACCCCCCCCACACATCTTCCAGGCCTGCAGCGTCTTTCTTTCCAAGTACTGGACATTCATTTCACCCTCCTCTTCAATGAACTCCTCTCTCCCATCCAATGAACTCAAGATATTTTGCTGTAGTGCCCTCGATGGCAGAGAACTTGACCACTGCTAAGTTAGAGGAGTGGATGACTCCACCTGCTCTGGATTGCCACTCACTGTGGGTCTGCAGGGCCTGGACTTATTCTCAGGGAACAGAGCCAGTCTCCACCCCCCTCACCCACCCGACCCCCAACATGCATCCTGACCCTGGGCCAGTTGTTCAGAAGGGCTGCTATTTGTTCTCCCAGGGAAGGGTTGGCCCAGGCAGCGCCTGTCTGAGAAAGCTTAAGCTACTGGGTGTTATTCTGAAAAATTATGTCTATTGCTCACCCCCAGCAAAGACTTAAGAGCACCAGGAGGACAGGATGGCAATGTTGGGCAGCCTCCCAGCTCCTGGTCAGGCTTTCTTTGTGGCTGTTGTGCAGCATTGTGAATTCTCAGAGCGTCACAAAGCTACGTTCTAATTTAAGTACCAACATACATTCCAAAGGCAAATATAACTTTTTATTATCTTCAGCTGAGGATGATTTGTCACTGTCTTCTTCTTGGGCCTGGGTAACCAAGAGCTGATCATACAGACATATTGAAGTCGGGACCTTGGGAGGTCGTTTGCTCCACCCCGCAAGTCTTCGGGAGCCCAGAGGGTTCCATCTACTCAGTAATCCAGCCCACTCATGCTGCTGTTTAGGACTGATTCGGCTGATCTGGATCCCTGCTTGTACAGCCGCATAGGCCGTTTCTTGCAACCTGTTTGTCTGTTTCTAAGGCCACTGTCCCACCTTGAGACTCATGTGTACCCTTTGACCCCACTCCAGTTTTGACTCCAACCTGTGTTTCATTCATTCCATACCCACGGTTAAACTCTGCCTTCCTTTCTGATTGCATAGTCTCTGGTGAAGAATTATGAAACAGGTGTACATTTTTTAAAATTGTATTTGAATGCCTTTACCTGGGGCACCTGTGGTCCTGCGCCAGACAGGCCCAGTCTCTATTATCTTGTAGATCTTTCCATTATGCAGTCCCTGAAGGCGTTTACTTTTGCCACCCCTGGGATAATGGCCAGCTCTTCAGTTTCTAAGGCGTAGGGCTTGAACTTGTCTTGAATTTGTTGACCTTGGAGGGTGTCTGACGGGAGCCC